CTTTCCGGACCCCCAGGGGAAAACCAAGACCCCCCCACATTTCTTGGGGGGGGTTGGGTTAGAGTTCCCGGCGCCCTCCTTCCGAGGGGCCCCCCTCCTTGCCTTCGCCCCCTCCCCGAACCCGGGGGGGGGAGGGGCGGCCACCCTGAAAAAGGAAGGGATTGAGGGTCTTTCTTTTTCCCTCGGAATTCAACTTGGTGGGAGGAGAAGGAAAAAGGGAAGAACGGAACCCCCCCCCCAAGGGGGAAGAAAAAGGAAAGGTTCCCTGTCCCAAAGAGGCGCCCGGGGTGGGCCCCTGCTTGCTCCCAGCTGCTGGCGGGGGGGGGGCGACTCGGGGCGGGCAACCGGCGGGGGCGGGGACCGCCAAGAACGCGGGCGGCAGCAGGGGCCCGCCTGGGCGCCGCCAGCAACTTGGCTCCGCGCAGGCAGCCAGGCGGCGCTCCTGCCGGCCCCAGGCGCGCCGCTAGCCCGGCCCAGCGCCCAGTACGGCGGGCGGTGGCAGGCGGCGGGCGGCGGGCGGCGGGCGAGCCGGCGCAGGAGCAGGAGGAGGGGGAGCCGCGACGCCAGGGAGGGAAGCCGAGGCGAGGCGAGGAGGTGGCGGGAGGAGGAGACAGCGGGGAAAGGTGTCAGATAAAGGAGGGTTCTCCTCCGGTTTGGAGGCATCATGGCCGCTAAGTCAGACGGGAGGCTGAAAATGAAGAAGAGCAGCGACGTGGCGTTCACCCCGCTGCAGAACTCAGACCACTCGGGTTCGGTGCAGGGATTGGCTCCGGGCTTGCCGTCGGGGTCGGGAGCCGAGGACGAGGAGGCGGCTGGGGGCGGCTGCTGCCCGGACGGCGGCGGCTGTTCGCACTGCTGCTGCTGTTGCTCGGGCAGCGGTGGCTCGGGCGGCGGCTCCGGGGGCTCCGGCGGCCCGGGCGGCAGCGTTGGTGGCCCCGGCGGCGGGGCAAGCTCGGCGGCGCTGTGCCTGCGCCTGGGCGGGGAGCAACGGCGCTACTCGCTGTGGGACTGCCTCTGGATCCTGGCCGCCGTGGCCGTGTACTTTGCGGACGTGGGCACGGACATCTGGCTTGCCGTGGACTACTACTTGCGCGGCCAGCGCTGGTGGTTCGGACTCACGCTCTTCTTCGTGGTGCTTGGCTCGCTCTCAGTGCAAGTGTTCAGCTTCCGCTGGTTTGTTCACGATTTCAGCACCGAGGACAGCGCCACCGCCGCCGCTGCCGCCTCCAGCTGCTCGCAGCCTGGAGCCGATTGCAAGACGCTGGTTAGAAGTGGATCTGCAGCCGCGGAAGGAGAGGTTCGTCCTTCCACGCCTCAAAGGCAAGCATCCAACGCCAGCAAGAGCAACATCGCCGCTCCCAACACTGGCAGCAACAGCAGCGGGGCCAGCGGCAAACACAGGTCTGCCTCCTGCTCCTTCTGCATCTGGCTCCTGCAGTCACTCATCCACATCTTGCAGCTCGGGCAAATCTGGAGGTACCGTATCAGGGGTGGGGGAAGAGGGAGATTTGCTGCTGCTACTACATCCCCACTGCTTTGCTTTTGCACGAAAATCGTTTAGGGTTGCTGTGGTAGTAACCCTAGTCATACTCTCTCAGTTTTTTTTAAACTGAGTCCTGCATTTTTAAAATTTGTGATCACAACCTAGGGTGGGAGGGAAGTGAGAAGGGAAAGGCAGCAAAGTGGTTTTGCTCACCTCATCCTTCTGTCTCCCCACTCTGCTTCACTGGTATCTCTCTTTATATGCTACAACCCTTCCCCCTCACTGTTTCAGTGAGTAGGAGAGGATCCTTGTCACATCATGTGAAAATCCTTTTTTATTATGTTGAATTTGAGGTGTATGTTGCAATTTGGATGGCTTCTTTTGTTCCCTGAGAAAAACTGCTAATTCTAGTTAGGTGGGAGTTGTTGCTGCTGAAAAGTACCCACATTTTAATTATCACTGCTAGAGGAGTACTGTGCTCCAAGTAAAAAGCTTAGTAGGGCCACGGCTTGCCTTTTTTTGGAGAATATCTAATATCTCTATATCTCCAAAAATGAGTTAGTACACTTTATGGGACCCAGACTTTACTTTTCTGATGGCATTTTATGGTTATCTTGCAATATCACCCTTATCTAATTGCTCATATAACTAAGAACACTTGGAAAAGGGGTGGTGCATCTTGTAAACTAATCATTCTTGGCATCTTCTTTGCTACTTGTCATCTTCCCTACCAAGTCTCCTTACACGGGTATCACTTCCACTTTCAAACTGGAATATGAGGCTAAACTTGTCAGGCAGAGGGAACCATTATTTGAGGAGTCACTGCCTGGATTTAGGTATATAATGGAACAGTATACTCAGGAATGTGTTCCTAGGACTTTTAAATGTTTTTAAAAGCTTTTGAAGCAGTATTTTACATCTACAAAAATTCTTTGTATCAAAGGATTTACATGCTTACATCCCAGAGCTTTTTGGTTTAAATTGACTTACTCTAAGTAAAATGATGAAAAATCCTAGTAAGTGCACTGTACCGGGCTACATTCTGCTATGCCAGTGTCCTTTTCAATTTCATGTATAGTTATTTTTGTGCTAGGTGATAAGATTAACTTTGTGATAAGTTAATAATCATTTATAGAACAGAACCGAAAACTTATGCTTGTTTATGATGAACAATAGTGTTTTATTGAAAAGAGAAAGTTCAGTGATTATTTTGCAACCTTTCCTGGGACTGTTGCTTTGTAAATCAGGGTAAGCATTGCCATAGACAGTGACCTTTGAGATTGTGAAACTTTTATTTTTAAGCAGATACTTTCTGGAAAAGTGGTATATAATATGCAGTCAGACAAATTGATCTCGGAGACCTCCATATCTTGGACTCAAAGGACTTTATAAAATGTCAGTTAAATGTGATTGCTGTATTTCCCATGGTTGACTATTGTGAAGACGTACAGCTTAGTGCTCTTCTTCAAGTTTGATGAAAAACTCTAATGCTTGATTTAATTACTGAAATTGTTTAGTGGCTAGAATGCATATGATTAGCAGTTTTAATCTGCTTAGCATTGCATTTGGTAACTTTTGCAAACTTTATGCACGATTTGGAAATCACTTTTTAATCACCTTTAAAATTATATATATATATATATATATATATATATATATATATATATATATATATATATATATGCAAACCCTTCTCAGTCTATTAACTGAATAATTATCCATGTTTCCTACTGATAGATACTTGATGGGAAATTGCTATCAAATTCTGTGAACTGAGGAAGTTGTTTTAATTGCAGTTATATTTACCACTCCTTCTACATCAAACATTTTCCCAATTAGAAATGATGTTTATTATTTCAAGACGTAAAATGTGGGAAGTGGGAAATAAGTAAGAAAAGGGCCTAAACACATCTCAGTGAGACCATAGACACTGGGTCAACTGGCCATACAGATAAGCTATCAAAGGGGAGGAGGAAAGGAAGGGTAAGGCTGAAGGCAGAAGGAAAACCACAGGCTGTCAGACAAATGCATTAACTGATCCAGCCCTTGGAGAAACATGTTCACAAACGACACCCTTTTGTTAAGCATTTCTACAGTGTTTTCCTGAGAGGCTTTAAAGCAGCGGTTCTCAACCTGTGGGTCGTGACACCTTTGGGGGTTGAACGACCCTTTCACAGGGGTCACCTAAGACCATCGGAAAACACACATATAATTACATATTGTTTTTGTGATTAATCACTATGCTTTAATTATGTTCAGTTTGTAACAATGAAAATACATCCTGCATATCAGATATTTACATTACGATTCATAACAGTAGCAAAATTACAGTTATGAAGTAGCAACGAAAATAATTTAATGGTTGGGGGTCACCACAACATGAGGAACTGTATTAAAGGTTCGCGGCATTAGGAAGGTTGAAAACCACTGCTCTAAAGTTTCTTCTGCTAATGCACGTCACCTGGGAGGAAGTATTGTTGGAAATATTTTTAGATATTTATCCACACTTCAGAACAATGTGTTTAATATGTAAATCTGAATTATCTAATATAACTGTTCCTGAATTCTGGTTCAGATATTTGGGGGATGATGGGGTGACTGGGTTCGAAGCATGATCTGAGACAGCCTCATTTTCTTAAAACTTTAACCTGACTTGAAAGGGGTTCAGAAAGTTCATTGAATTTAACACTCAGACGCATCTTAAATAGTTTCATCTTCTTTAAGTGTAGAATATTTGCATGGAAATTTAAGGGATAGATGCATCTTTGATAACAAACCAGTGAAATGCAATTAATCTAAGATTATTGTACTAGACCACTATGATTTCTTAAATTAGAACATCCCTCTGCCTCTTCTAACTTTTCTTTTCAATGAATAGTACACAAATATTGCAGAAACACAAGAGTACTGAATGGTTCAAAGCTCAGAGGTCATTATTCATATTTTAACATGCTGCTTTCTAAGATCAATAGAATAAATTTTAGTCAAGTTGGTAACTGCTCATTGTATATCCATGAAATTCTAGTTACTTTAGGTAAGGGCCAGATTCTAAAAGCTTGTTGTAGATAAAATCTTTTGAAATAACATCAAAGTGTTTGCTTGTTCAGAAATTTCTATTCTAAAAATATTGGGCAGATTCACATGTATTTATACATTTATTACAAATGCAGCTGCTGAAAGCAATGATACATATTCATTTTAATTAAAATTTACTACTGGGAAATTAATGGCAACTTTTTTACAGGAGTTTATTCTGGGAAACAGCCATTTGAAATAATGAAGTGAACTTTTGCTACCATGTGAAAAGAGCAATTATGCCTTTAAAGGAACAGTGCTTGTGAATGAATGAGAAAGTATTTTTCTTTCTTGTTTTTTTCACATAATTCCAGAAGTTGCTAGGAGTATAGTTCAGCCAGTGGGAATCATAAATGCTCAATCAGTACAGTCTTTAGTCTTTATACCCCTGATCAATTATTTCTAGATGTCTTCTTCCTTCAGAATTTATGACTTATTCTTAAAATTCTACCTGAATGTTTTTATTTGTTATTTTACTCCCTCACTTTTATAGTAAAGTGGGGGAGTATTTGCTATTTTTACTAGTTTGGATTTTGTTTCTGAACATCTATCATGAGAGTCACAGGGGTGAAAAAACAGCTTTTCTGCTCTTCTCATACTTGATGTTTTACAAGGTATTAGCATGTGTTCCATATTCAAATATATTGGGAAAATGACAGGTTAAACAGATGTCTCTACAGCAGGACTTCTTAGAGCCTTTAATAGGGTAATGTGCAGTTGTCAATAACTTGTACTTGATGTGGCACACAAAGCACTTTGAGGAACATTGTTCTATGCCATTCTTAAACCTGGCCAAAAAGGAACTATAATAACAATTTTATATGGCACTTAAAAATCTACAAATGTTCTTATATTCCTTATTTTATCTAAGTTTTACAGTAGCCTAAGAGGAAAGCATTAGTATCTCTCTATATGAGAAACTGGCTCAGAGAGATCACGCAACTATTATGCGATGTGGCTAGGACCCAAAACCAGGCCTGTTTACCCTAAAGTGTATGTTCTTTCTGGCTCAGTTAGCTGCCTCCAAATGCCAACTTGGATAATAAAGACAATAATAAATAAAAATGACAATTTACTTTGACTAAGGATGCAAATGGGAGTTGCAGTTTGGATAAGTTAGGAGATCTTTCTAATAACATTCCAGTAGTTAAATGGAACAACATAGACTTAAGCTCAGATTGCCAGACTCTTATGTCCAGTGCTCTTACTATACCATTTGGACATGTTGAGGTTGTTGTATCAAATCCCAGCTGAGTAACATGATCTTGTAGTAGCATTAATGATTAAATGGTATAATGTATGTGAAGAATTGAAAGTTCTTTGCAAATGATAAAAAGGTTCTATTCTAGAGAGAATGGGTAGGAAAATAGAGATTACCCCTTTGGCTATTGAAAAAGAGCTTTATTGATTCTGAGTTAGTTCTGAATTCTGATATAGGTCAGGCAAGATAGGTGCCCTTTTCTGAATTTGAGTGGTCATTTTCTGTATATTTGTGTTCCCTCTACTGCATATTCATTAGTTTATTCAGTCATCATATATTGAGCACCAAGTCTATGCAAGGTGCTGTGCTAGTTACTAATTATCCCAAGATGAATAAAATACAGATCTTTTTTCAAGGAATCTACTGTCTGACAAGGAAGATAGAAAAGTAGATAAATAATTTCAACACAAGGAAATAAGTGAGCACTATAATAGAAACAGGAAATTCAAACCACCTAAGCCATTCAGGTAAGACTCTAGAGCAGTGAATGTTGGAACAAAGGTTTGAATGATGAGGAAATCTGCTATCTGAATAAAGTGGGGCGTTGGCTGTAAAGCCTTGGATATGATTATTGTGAAGGCGGAGGGGCAAGAAAGAACAAGACAGGTTAAGTGTGCGTTTGGAATAGAGTGAGTGAGAGGTAGTAGCTACAAATGA